AGCTCACTTGGTAAAGCACTTGCCGTGCAAACATGAGGACCTGAGTGTGGATCCCCAGCACCCATAGATGAAAGCCAGTTGTGGCAGCATCTGTAACCCCAGCATGGGGATGGGGGCAGGAGGTGGACAAAGGCAAGCAGATCCCAGGATCTCACTGGTCAGCCAGTCTAGCCACATTTGTCAACTTCAGGTTCAGTGAGAGACCCGCTATCAAAACAAAATAAACAAAGGAAAGAAAATGGAGAAGTGATTAAGGTAAACATCCTGACATCAACCTCTGGCCTCTACAGGTGCCCTCAGGGGCAAGTGAACTGTGCACACACAACCTACACTACACTACACTCTACTCTCTCTCTCTCTCTCTCTCTCTCTCTCTCTCTCTCTCTCTCTCTCTGTATATATCATATATATACTTAACTATATATTCTGTATATGTCATATATAATATATGCTCTGAAGCACAGAGCACCCGATTGCCAGTTGACTTCTTTTTGAGGATGTAATTAAATGACTGCTTATGGAGGAGTTAAAATGGGTAAAATGACAAGAAAATCTATCTTTTTATGTATTCTATATGAAAGCATAAGAGACTATAGATAGCTCCTTGAAACTTGAAAATGTAGATAAGTCAGTAGAATCTTTTGCTTATGTATATATTATATTCAGAGAATAATGTCTGCTTTCTAATAAGATCTTTATGACGTTTTCCCCATAGACGCTTAACAGAAACATTTTTGTTTGTTGCTTGTGTTTTGTTTTTGTTGTTATCTAATATCTGGGAGTATTACATATACAAATGCTTGATCTCCTAGAAGAATTTTTAAAATTATTCTTAAGGGGGCTGACGAGATATCTCAGTGGTTCAGAGCACACACTGCCCTTGGAGTGGACACAGGACTGTTCATAATTACAGTTCCAAAGGTTCCAACACCCTCCTCTGGCCTCTACTGGCACCAGGTACACATGTGATACACATACATATACATACATACATACATACATACATACATACATACACACATACATATGTACATAATACATACATACAGGCAAAATACTCATACACATAATTTTTAAGCTAAAACATTATTATTGTAATTATTATTTTGTGAGTATACATCATGGCACATGTGTGGAGGTCAAAGGACAACATTATGGAGCCAGTTATCTCCTTCCACCTCATGTGGGTTCCAGGGATCCCAGGCTTTTGTGGCAAGTGCCTTTACCTGCTGGACCACCTTGCTGACGTGTAGAGGAAATATTTGTATAAAAGCCTTTGTCAAAACTTCTAGAATAGGGGCTGGAAAGATGGCTCAGCGGTTAAGAGCACTGACTGCTCTTGCAGGGGACCCAGGTTCAATTCCCAGCACCCACATGGCAGTTAACAAGTTGTTCGTAACTCCAGTTCCAGGGGATCCAAAGCCCTCTTCTGACCTCTGTGAACATTGCATAACACGGGTGCACTTACATGGATACAGGCAATACACTCATACACATTTTTAAAAAAAAAAAAACTTATAGAAAAAAATGAACTTATAAAGCTCCAGTGATTCTACTAAGCCAAAGGAAGCTGCACAGTGACTATCTCCTGATAATCCTCATAATCATTATATTTCATTTGAGGTAGCATTATATAAAAAAGTAAGGATTCACTGAACCTGCTTCTGTGCTAAACTCCCAAGGAGAACTTTTTGGTGGTGTTACCTCAGAGTTTTCATTTTCTAGTACGCTTTTCCTTAGAGAGCATGTAATCCTGTTCCTTTAAAGAGATGAATGTCTAACTAATACAGCCCACACTAACCTGGAACTCTTGGGCTCATGTCATTCTGTTCCAAATGACTGAGTTTGTAGGTGCTTGCCACAATACCTGGTTTTACTTATCAGTAATTTTTGAGCCTTTAGTCTCTTCTTCAACTCTTCTCACATGCTATGGAAGCGGCCTACCTCTGAATTATATCCCCAGACCCCTGCAGTTATATTGTTAATAGTAAACTATTAACACAACTGAAACAAGGAAGCTAGCTGATCATATTTACATTTCTTAACCAATATATCTTACCTTCACTCTTTGCACCTGTTCAGGTTTATACCTACCAGATGTCAGTATTCATAAACTTTATGATTATACAAAAATATTTGATATACATGAATTTGAACAGTATTATCTGATCTTTTTTTGTTGTTAGTTCATAAAAATCATCCTGTAGGGAAAAAGGTTTTTGTGGCCTTTCATTTTTACAAATTCTGGTTTTAATATTCAGGTTGTTATCAACAAATATCATTTTAGTAAAATACAGAAATTTCAAAGTAAACAATTCACATTTTTAAAAATTTGGTAAACTGAGACTTGATGAAGAAAATTTATAAGGAAAAGTATCAATCATAAGCCTTGTTACCATATAGCTGCATGTCTTAAAGTTTATTAGTTTATGTAGCAGACCTAACTCAGCCCTTAAACATTAGTCCATGTAGTTTCAGTAGCAACTCTGTCATTGCCCATGATGAATGCTAATAAAGACAAAGATTTTTTAAAAATATGGACATAGCACAGTAGCACTTTGATCTAAGGATGATTGACAGTAATATGAGCATATGAGAAACTATTGAATTATGTGGGAAGCTCTTTGAAATGGTCTTACTTATGATGCTATGCATCAACCCAAGATTACCTTCCCCTATGTGAATCCATCCTTTGAGAAAAATTGGGTACTTTATGGATTCACTCAATACTTAAACACTACCTTCTATTGTTTTAAATAGTCTAAATTTTAAGATGTAATTGAGCTATGTTTCTTTTTTAAAAAAATATTTTATAGGGGTTGGGGATTTAGCTCAGTGGTAGAGCACTTGCCTAGTAAGTGCAAGGTCCTGGGTTCGGTCCTCAGCTCCAAAAGCAAAATTATTTATTATTTTTATGTGTATGAGTGTTATGCCTGCATGTAGATAAGTGCACCTGTGTCATGTAATGTTCGTGGAGGACAGAAGAGGCTAGAACTGGAGTTACAGACAGTTATTAACTGGCTTGTGGGTACTGGGATTTGAACCCGAGTCTTCTGCAAGAACAGTCAGTGTTCTTAACTGCTGAACCATCTCTCCAGGCCCCAAAGTACGTTTCTTACAAAATATATATTCCTGGGGTTGGGGATTTAGCTCAGTGGTAGAGCTCTTGCCTAGCTAGCACAAGGCCCTGGGTTCGGTCCTCCGCTCTGAAAAAAAAGACAAAATAACAAAAAAGACCAAAAAACAAAAAAACCAAAAACCAAGGCAACAAAATATATATTCCTGTAGTTTCACTATAGAATTTAATCCAGATGTCTTCTGTAGCAAGATTATTTAAATAGTGAGAGTTTACATGTGGCAAATTCTAAATTCACTTATATATGGACACTATCTCTTTGTAGATTATAATGTGCTTATTAAAATATGACCTTTATGATTTCTTTGCTTAATTATGGGACTAGTATATGCATTTAAGTGACCAAAGTCTATTAGATTGTAAGTCTGAACATCATTATTAATTAAATAACTAATCAAATACATTTAAAACCAGTGTAATATTGAAGCCTACAACAACTGAGCAAATTAATAAACATGCTCAGAAATTATCTGGTTATTATAAATGGGTCACATTAAGGTCATTTTTAAACCATAGTGGAGACTTGGATCTAAAAAAACTCTAAAAAGGGGGCTGGAGAGATGGCTCAATGGTTAAGAGTACTAGCTGCTTTTGCAGAGAACTCAGTTTTTGTTCCCAGCACCCAAATGGAGGCATCTGTAACTACAGTTCCAGGGGATCTGATGCCCTGTTCTGATCTCTATGAGCACTGCATGACACCCGTGCACTTACATACACTGATACAGAGGCAATATACTCATACACAAAATAAAAACAATATTTTAAAACCTTAAAAAGAAATTAGCCCCCACCCCTTCCCTACTAGGGGGGAAGGGAAGGCTTACTACATTGGAAATAACTGGCCCAGATTTCTGGACACCCAAGACAAGTATATTTCTTTCTAGATTTGGGAGATAAAACTGCACATCATTCAAATTCATATTTTCTTTCCTCCTACTCCACCTCCCTCTTACCTTCCTTCTTTCCTACCCTCCTTTCTCTTTTTAAATCTCTATGCTACTCAGGTTTCCCTTTAAATTGTGAACCTCTCGCCTCAGCCTCCCAAGTAGCTAGAATTATAAGCACATGCTACCATACCAATTTGTATTACTTTTTTGATCCTTTAAGATAATATAGGAATTATGTTGCAATAGAAGAGATGGTGAAATGCTTTACAAATAATAAGAATATAACCTTAATCTTTCCAAGTTTCTGGCATCACACAGACCATTTTTAAGATAGAAAATACTTGCAATACTATTAGAAGAAGATACGGTACATGTAGAATTAAATTTGTTTCAAGCTGAGTGTTGGGACACATGTCCATAGTCCCAGCTGGATGACTGAAGTAGGGGAAACATTTGAGCTTACAAATTCAAAACCTGCTTGGGCACAGTCTAGTCCCAAAAATAAAATTTAAATTGTTTCACAAATTATTTATCTTAGTCCATTTTCTGTTGTATACCAGAATATCTCGGACTGGGTGATTTATAAAGCTCACAGTTCTAAAGGCTGAGAAATTCAAGAGCAGAGCAGCTAACCATGTGATATGGTCTCCCTATAAAACCTACTTTCTTTACAAAGACTCATGCATTTTTAAGAGAATGAGAATTCATTCACTTCTTCTGAGTCCCAAAAGAAAAGCATCAATCTCTCTTAAGGACTTAGAACCTCTCAGAGGCCCTACCACTTTCTCTCACTAAGGAATTAAACCTTAACATGAGGTTCGGCAAGGGTATCCCATTTTCAAGTCATAGGATTCTTTTGTCCATATTTTTTTTAATTTCTAGATTTATATCATACCTTTAAAAATAAGTTATGTAAATATATATAATTCTTTTGAATAATTCTAATTAATAGTGACAACATTTTTCTCCTGTCATAGATATGGAGTCTGGAGAACGGTTGCCATCTTCAACAGCCTCCTCGACTACACCAACTTCCTCTTCTACACCTTCTGTGGCTTCAGCAGTTTCAAAAGGCGGCCATTCCACTGGAGCTGCTTCAGTTAGCTCTACAATCAACCCATGTGGTAAATATCCTTTACTAACTTACTTTTTTAAAAAATATTTATTTGTATTTTAATTTATGTGTAGAAGTGTATTACCTACATTATATAAGTGCACCTGTGCAATGCCCACAGAAGTCAGAAGAGGGCATTGGGGACCCTAGAACTGTAGTTACTGATGGTTGTTAGTTACCATGTGGCTGCTGGGAACTGAACCCAGGTTCTCTGCAAGAACAACCATCTCTCCATCCCCTAACCATATCTCTGAACTGTCTTTCCAGATGCTAACTTAATTTTTGAATGCTAGCATTTTAAGGTCTTATATTCATAATGTTGAGATCTGAATAAAATGTTCTCATGACCTGTTGAATAATCATTGTGTTAAATATGTAGGCTTTTTGCTGTTTCTGGCTTTCTCTAGGGGAAAGCCCTGGCTCGACCTTTCGTAAAACTTTTCTCTGAGAGTTTAGTCTTAGGATCTTATTTATCATTTTAGTGAATACTATAGTAAACATAAATCACAAGCCCATGGGAGTCAAGAAATATAGAAAAGTTCTTGGGAGTAAAATAAATTTTTTGTTCTTTACTTTTATAATATTGCATTTCATGTTTAAAATGAAGCATTTTGGACTGGAGGGTAGCTCAGTGGTAGAGCACTTAACCTAGATCATGAGACCTTTGGTTCAATCTCCAGCACTACAAAATGCATACATACACATAGGTACGTACATACACACATACATACCTACCAACTTTTTTTGTCTTCCAATGCAAAGACTCTTGGAAAAAATTCCGACTATTCTGTTTTCCTGACTTATTTGAGTCAGTTTTTTGGCTTACATGTTATCTGGTAATTCTTTCGATTTGAAAATAAAATCGGCCAGTCATCCCAGCACTTGGGAGGCAGAAGCAGGCAGATATCTGTGAGTTCAAGGCCAGCCTGGTCTACATAGTTCCAGGTCAGCTGGGGCTCCAGGGAGACCCTGTCTCCAAAAAAAAAAAAAAAAAAAAAAAAAAAAAAAAAAGCCATCTTTATTTCTTCCTTTGAGAACTCTGTGTTACATCTTTAGCCCATTTTTTAATTGGATCATTTGTAAAACGTGTTCAAGATTTTTGCATTAGGGAAATACAAATTAAAGCCACCTTAAGATTTTCCCTTACCCCAGTCAGACTGGCTGAGATCATGAAAACAAATGATACCAAATGCTAGCGAGGATGTGGAGAAAGGGGAACACCCATTCACTGCTGGTGGGATTGCAAACTCTATGGAAAGCAGTGTGGAGAACTCTTTAAAAACTAAAAGTGAACCTATCATATGACCTGGTTATACCACTCTTTGGCTCCTTGGCACATACCCAAAGACTTATCCTATTGCAGAGATGCTTGTACAACCATTTGTTGCCGCTCTTTTCACAATAGCACAATAGCTAAGAGATGGACACAACCGAAGTGCCCCTCAACTGACGAGTGGCTAGTGAAAATGTGGTACATTTACACAATGGAGTTCTACTCAGCAATAAAGAAAGATGAAAAAATGAAATTTGCAGGTAAATGGATGGATCTAGAAATTGTTATACTGAGCGAAGAAACACAGACTCAGAAAAACAAAAGACATATATTCTCCCTCATATGTGGATCCTAGCACCAAATCCTTATGAGTGCATATCCTGTTGTAATTGCAGGAACCAGGAAAGTGGAAGGAAACCAGGGAGGTAAAGGGAAAGAAGGAACCCAAGAGAGAAAAATAGTAGGAGACAGGAATACTGAGAAATGTGTATGGGGGAGGAGGTAGTCAATGGGGAGGGAGAGAAGGAAAGGTATACAAAGAAAAATGGGAATAAAGAAGAAGAAGGAGCTCAAAGAGGTGGGACCGTAGCATACAAAAATTATCAAGGGACAGCCATTGCAGTACATTGAGCTCCATGGGGACAGCGCCGGGGCAAGTGAAAGCCAGACCAGCACTGGGTGACTGTGCCTCGGCAAGGAAAACAACTAAACATGGGCAAAGGAGATCCTAAGAGGCGGAGAGGCAAAATGTCATCATAGGCATTCTTTGTGCAAACTTGCCAGGAGGAGCACAAGAAGAAGCATCCTGATGCTTCTGTCAACTTCTCAGAGTTTTCCAAGAAGTGCTCAGTGAGGTGGAAGACCATGTCTCCTAAAGAAAAAGGAAAGGTTGAAGACATGGCAAGGGCAGACAGACTCCTTATGAAAGAGAAATGAAAATCTCTGCCCCTCCTAAAGGGGAACCAAAAAAGAAGTTCAAAGATCCCAACACACCCAAGAGGCCTCCTTCGGCTCTCTTCTTGTTCTGAGTATCGCCCCCAAATCAAAGGAGAGCATCCCAGCTTATTTGTTGATGGTGCAAGGAAACTGGGAGAGATGTGGACCAACACTGATGCAGATGACAAGCAGCCTTATGAGAAGAAGGCCGCCAAGCTGAAGGAGAAATACGAAAAGGTATTGCTGCCTACAGAGCTAAAGGAAAACCTGGTGCTGCAAATAGAAGGGGAGCTGTCAAGGCTGGAAAGAGCCAGAAAAAGAAGAGGAAGATGAAGATGATGATGACGAATGTTTGCTCTATCGCAGTTTTGGTTTGTTTTTTTTTTTCTTGTCCAGACAGCATTTAACCTCCCTGTACATAACACTCCTTTTAAAGAAAAAAACTGAAGTGTGAGGCTGGGTAAGATTTGTTTTTAAACTGTACACTGTCTTTTTTTGTATCGCTAACACACTATTGAGTGTGTCTGTAGATAGCCCTGTCCTGGTCGTATTTTCATAGCCACTAGCCTTGCCTGGTACAGTACAAGGGTATAAACTGGTGTGGGAATTTAAAGCAGGTTCTTGTTGGTGCACAACACAGATTAGTTATATATGAGGATGGTTTTTTTTTCATCTTCAGTTGTCTGTGATGCAGCTTATATGAAAATAATTGTTCTGTTAACTGAATACCATTCTGTAATTGCAAAAAAAAAGTTGCAGCTGATTTGTTGACATTCAGAATGTCTTTAAGTAAATTTTTATTAGTAAAATTTTTATTAGTAAAAATAAAATTATCAAGGGAGAAATGGAGACAATTGGGACACTTTAAATAGGAAGGGCGGGGAGGGAGGATAAGACAGGGAGAAAAAGAAGAGACATAAATATTGCCTAGCCATTTTAAAAACCAGAGGGAATTGTATTAGTCCAAAAACTTACTGAAAAATTACACATACAATATTCCTACATGAGTCCGTGGTTATAGCTGAAGGCTACATAACAAGAAACAGTGCCAGTCAGGGAAACCTTCCTTTGAGTTGTTGGCCAGGGTAGTCCAGGAGACTCCCAAAATTACACAGGCTATTGTCATAGCCCTTGATTGCCTCCTAGAACTTAATGGTAAGACCCTATTGCTGAAGACAGGGCATACTTTGGACACAGAATGTGAAGCAGTGGAGCTGGAACTGACCTGGAAGCCACCTCCCCTGAAGGCAAACTCATAGGTTTGGAGAGCACTGTGCAAGCTGGTACATCAATCAGTGGTCCAACCCTAGCCTCAAGGCCTAAAAACCACATCAAGTGACATCACTGCAGTAGTGCACTTTTATCCTGGGGATAATCAACAGCTAACTAATTGGACTTAAAGCCCACTCAATGGGAGGAAACTCCTGTCTGGTACTCTAAACCTAGCCAAATACACACAGCTGGAGAGGTCATAGATCTTAGAGAAAACCTAAGGCTCTCATATCCCTAAACAAATGTAATTTCTTACTATGTACAAAATATGGATCCTTAAATTTCCTGACAAGTATCCCAGTCATCACCCATCAAAGTTTTTCAACAGAGATTATTATAGAGTTATACCACTGGTCACATACAGAGATTGTCTGTGAATCGCTGAAGCCTAATTGGCACATTTAGGATACAACCTCTACACCTAAGACTCAAGGAACATAGAAAAAGGGGTGAAGAGAACACTAATGCATCTTTCAGTTCTCATCAATGGAGCTCCCTCATGCAACATAGGGCCAGGAACGTGAAAGGCCACAAATGGCCAAAATGCAGAGAATAAGAGTAGGCAGAGTATGGGCCCTTGGACAGGTCTATATTGCAGTCCACCCACCCAGGGCTCAGGGACCATTGTGGAAGAGGGGGTGGAAATACTGTAAGAGCCAGGTACATGACCATATGGAAATCATCCTACAGGTGCCTGGGAGCCTTCTGATACAAACCTACAGCAATGGTGTCAGCATGCAAAAGACCCACATAAAATTAGACAGACAAAAACCCAGCACAGAACTGTAGAAATGCATAGCAAGCCCCAATCTTATTCAAAGAATTATTGGCAGCTGATAACTGCTAAGTGAGGAAGAACAGATCTTCTCGAAGGGAGAGACTCTAGATAGGCTGACTAAATCCCAGTGGATGAACTTGTACCGAGAGACATCTCAGGACACTTCTAACTTTACATAATAGGCCTTAATACAAATGACAGAATGTATAAACTCCAGTGTGGAGGGGGGACTATGGGAGGGTGCCAAAGGGGAAGGGGGAAGGGGATATAAAGGTGATTTTCCTGCATGAAATACACAAAAATAAATAAATTATAAAAAATAAGTAAAATCATAGCGTGACAATGGGATCAACCCCTTTATCTTATGCTGTTTGGCCTCAACAGTTTTGATATATATAAAGAACAACAAAAGAGAATTTTCATCTTTAAAACACCAAAACCTCAAGAATTCTTTTATGGGCTCTTTGAGATCATTCTGTTGTTTTAAGTAATTATTTTAGAGTTTATTTCTCTATCGTTTTCATTAATGATGGTGTCTGTAGAAATTCCTTTACATGCTAAGGAATATAAATTGTTTACATTCAGATCTTAAATGATCAGCTATTTTCTGTTTTAATCAGTTCCTTGTCCAAATCTGAGATTATACCTAAATTAGTCTATTGCTGTTATGGATACTGACAAATTCTTGGATCAGAAATGTTGTTGCTCATAGTACCACAAACAGTAGGAACATTATCTGGGCATGGGTTTC